CTTCCCTTTTTACCCTACTGGAGAAGTTTTTGGATGTGCATAGGGATTTGAGTCTTAGAAGATCCCATTCATCTATGTTATCTTCTCCTGGTTGTAGGTTGAAAAGTTAGGTTAATTTTAATACAAATGTTAGAAACAGTGAAGAAGGAATAGTAGTTGAAAATATGGGCTTGTTGTAGAAATGAAGCTGGAAATAGGATGATTGAATTTTATATTTTCAATGATTTATTAATCACAAATACCTTTTTAAAAGACACAAATGGTGACTTTACACACAGAGCTCACCTGACGGGCTGCATAGGAATCAGACTGACTACATCTGTGGAAGGAATCATTGGAGAAGCTCAATACTGGCAGTCAAAACTGGGCCAGGGACAGACAGTAGGTCAGACCATCAATTAATGTACAAGCTCGGAAAGGTAGAGGGTCAGTGAAGGAGTCCAGGTATATTGAAACAGTGATTTCGGCGATGGGTTCACAAAGGTGTGGGATCACACCTTTATCACCCACAAGGTTTTCAAGGACTGACTTTTAGAAGTAGACTGCCAGGGTTTTATTCCTGGTTGCTCTTAGTCAGGAAGCTTTGCTGCAGCCTCCACTACTGTAGGGTGGTACCTTGCATACGAGACTGTGCAGGTCTGACAGCATCCCATTCCAAGTGTGGAAGGCCAGGGCTCTGAAGAGACTTGACCAAAGCTCACCCTACATTTTTGTTAGGGGATGGCAGTGAAAACAAGAATCTGGCAGCAGACACTCTGGGGCACTGAGGGGAAAGGGGGCCTATGTGTGTGTGTGCGTGGGGGGCGTTTTCTCCCTGCGCTGGAGAGTGAATATGCAGCAGGGACAGCTCCTTTTCACAGAGCCACTTAGCCGGCCCTAAGAAGCCAGAATCACTGCTCCTCAGCTTGCCTGGTGGGGGATCTGAAAGGCACATCTCCCCTCACGTGAGCTTAAGGAAAAAAGCACTTTTAAAGTGACTATTAAAATATTTTAAACAGAAATTTGCTCTGGTTGTGCTGTGGCTTTTAACAAATACAGTGAATTTTACTTTGTCTTAACTCTGGGCAGGAAGAATTTTACATGACCGTGGCACTCGCTTTGCACTTGGTCAGACCAGCTTAGAGAGATTCAGATTGGCGTTCTAGTAGACACCCCAGCTTTCATTCTAAAAGCAAGAGAAAGATGCAGAGTCTCCTGCAAAGGTGTGGAGCCTTGGAAAGCTGAGGAAGGTTGCCAGGAGCTAGACTCAACAGTGTGGCTTGCTGGGTGTGGTTATGAGCAGTGAAAGGGGCTCTGGTGACACCGTGATCAAGGCAGCGAGGTACCATAGAGGTAGATGAGCTCGCCTTGGAGAAACCCTATGGGGTCGCTGTAAACCGGGACCCACGGAAGGCAGAGTAGTTTTGATGGACCCTCTTGGTCACACGGCCAGACCTCACTCCACACCACTGTATTTCTCCCTCCCTAAGAGGGGCTTCAGGCCTTTTGTTTATAGGGTCGCTATGACTCTAAGGCAAGTAACAAGTGCAATATTGTTGTCTGGTCAGCTCAACTCACAACGACTAAGGCAAACAGAGTCAACTTGTGCGGGAGCTGGCCTCAAGCCCACTGTGGGAAAAATCCCGCTGAGCCCAGGAGACACTTGTTGGTGGATGGGCCCAGGAGTCCCACCCTGGTCGGTCAGTACTGCAAGGCGAAAACACGGACAGCACCTCTGACCTACCCTCCCAAATCCTCCTGCCCCACCCCCGCAAGCTCCGCCCTCGCAGCGAATGGACGTTTCTGTTCACCAATCAGAGGCAAGTGTTGCTCCGAGCCCGCCTCTCGCAGCCGCCGCGCACGCGCACTCGCCACAGGCTGAGGCGGAGACGACGCGTGGACCCGGCCGCCTGCGTGGAGGGGGAGGAGCCCGCGCGGCCATGAAGGCCTCCGGGGATGACCTGCCGTCCGCACCCGCTCTGGGCGGCCCGCGGGCCCAGGTGGTAGGTGCTGGGCCGCGGGGAGGAGCCGTGGGCGTCCTGCTCCTCTCTCCATAGCTCTTAGGATCGCCTGATGTCCCCTTTCCTTCCTCCCTCCTCGTCTCCGGCTTTTCTCCACGTCTGCTCTCCCCTTCCCACCACACCTGCCCCCCATCTCCCTGCTTTACCTTACCGCTCCCCGACCCTCCTC